CACCTCTGGACACCACGCTCAGAGAACCCCCCTTGAAATGACCTGGCTACGGGCCTGTGAGTGGCACAAAACACTGATATGTATTGAAATTTTATAATTTAGTGGCCGCAAAACAGGGAAAATCCTGGCGTCACCCGGTGTACATACAGTAGCATTGGTTGGTTGTATCATGGAGGGTATTACTCTCCATGGTTGTATCTCACAACGAGTACATCGTACTGCATTGTTGTGACGTATCACTGCGTAGAATTTAATGATCTTCTCACCTGCAGCAGATCTTTGGTGAGAAGAGAGGAGAAGTTATTGTACCTGACCCCAGCGAAGTATTCATGATGGTGTAGGATCATTGCGGTATACGGTAGGTTCGACCTTTGCTAAGAGGCTCAGTCCGTCGCCTAAGGCAGGAAGTGAAAAACCATTGTGGACGGTCGAGCAGCAGTGTGTAGTCGACTTATTTTCTTCGAGCATCTCCCTGTTCTGAATTCTGACGGAAAGTCTCGGAGCAATTTCTGTAATACTATTACAAAAATACACTACGGAAATGTATCATTAGGCCTCCTAGACAGTGTCTTACATCCAAGACAATGATCAATCAGGACTTTTGGCTAAATTTTCCCATATCGCGAAAACTCAGACTTGTCAGATTAATAATAGTAACTTATTGTAAAACAGGCCCGTAGCAGTTCATTTGAAAGAAAGGGGGGTTCTCTGGGCGTGGGGTCCAGTGGCCATGCCTAAGGGCCACGGTGGGGTCGGGGGCGAAGCCCTCGAAGCCAGGGCAGTTTTAATGGGTGTATATAATGTTTTAAAAGCAGTTATGTTTTGAAAAAGATCTATGTAATAAAAACGTTGTAATATAATAAAATTAGAAAATATTTTCTGAGAATTGGCATGTTTAAATAACACCGAAAGACCCGGCTCATCGCATAATCAATATCATAATTACTGAACACATTTATTATTATAAAAACAACGCTAGGCTATTCCTCTTCTTCCTCCTCTTCTTCTTCTACTACTACTTCTTCTTGACTCTCATTTTGTACACTGAAAATAATAGTACTATTTTACTACATGGCTAAAAAATGCACAAATATTGTCATTACTACTGACAGGGCCATCGTTAAATTAAGTCAGAGCCCAAAATATAGCATCATACTCAATATGTTATCTGACATCATTACCTAAACTTTAATACAGTTATTTGTTATACTAGGCCTAATTCAAAATTATTATTTTAAGACTTTGTCATAATACATACTGATTAATAATAGCTGAGATTTGATGTACATTTTAGAATTAATAATCGTTTTTAGTATATCTTCCTGAATATTTATTGTCTACCAAATGAAATATGAATTATATGCATCTTTAGAAATACAATTACTACAATATTTTAATATTGTAACATTTATCTATATAAAAACAAGATTAAAATCTTGTTTTTATATAGATAAATGTTCGATAAATTCTATCTTTCATTAAAAAAAAAAAAAAAAAAACCGAAATTCAGTGAGTCTATTTTCATTCTAATCAATGGCGTATGTAAACGTGCACTGACGTCATCGTCGAATTCCAGGACTTTCGACGGCAAGCTGGCCTGCCTGCCCCGGTCCCAGGCCAACCAATAATAATTATTAAACAAAAAGTGTTGCCTGCACTACTTTGTTGTCGTCGGGGTATAATTCTGTCTCTAAATGAATGAGGAGAGAACATAGCTAGTCAACATCTAGGCTAGGCTAATTTATTTTGAAATCAATAACCCACCTTAAATGACTATCTGCCGTTTTCTTCTTTGCAACAGCGGACGAAAAAAAAGTCAGTTATTCTACGACATTTCATGGTCCTTTATCACTAAAAATTAACAAACACTCGTTTTGACGCACTCCATTCTGTAGTGTGTGTCTGCTGTTGAAAACAAACTTCCTAGCCTAATTTTGTGACTGGCTATGATGACTGAGATGGACCATGTTATTTTATTAATAATATTTTGTTTGGGATGGAAAAAAGGAGAGTCAATATCCCCAAAATGCTCCAACAGCACATAGTTTAGTGTGCGCTAAGGACAGTATGGCTATGGAATTTACTAACCACGCAATCCACAATCAGGCGATTAAGTCGCAAAACTTTATCTGCATTTGGTGGATTATGTCACAAAACTTTAGCTTTGTTTGGTGGCACCATTTATTCTAGGTAGACGGCGACCGGTTTCATTAACGGTTGGTACATTTCTTACAAACATTCAGCCAAAGGCCAGTTAAAATTGAGACGGCAGCTAGGTTTTTATCGATGTTTGCCATCCTTATGTGTGCCATCGTAAAGTCATGGGGTCATGGTTTGCTGGAGTTGCGTTCAATTTAAATCTCCGAACTTTTGAAGCTGAGATATTCTATAAATGTAGGCTTGTATCGCAGGCTACAATTTAAAAATGGGTTACCAAATAATGAATTAGGTGCTAAATTTTGATTTAATGCTAGGTAAGTTAATAACAGACATTCCGTCCGAGTGGGACTCATTCAAAAATTTGAGGGGGTTCACTAGAAAACGGGGGTTCGCCCAAACCATAAAAACCCCCCCTGGCTACGGGCCTGTAAAACCCAAGAAAAGTGACCCATGAATCTTCATCCTGTTTGTTTGAAATTCCACCGCTGTATACTGTAGTGGTGGCGCCAACGGGAAGGCATTTTGAGCAATCCATATCTTGCGTTTCATTTTACTATGGAAAGTTGAGGACTACGGAATAAAGCGCCAGCTTGTTTGGTGCTGGTAATTATTGTACTGTATTCGCGTGAAACGGTCTTTATAGTAGTAGACCCAGACCACGGATCTTACCTGGTTAAAAACAGTGGAGTAGCTTAGTGGTTAAAATGCTTAGGCCTACCTACTAATCCCATGGTCCTGGGTTCAATTCCTGTGATTGCAGAATTTTTTTCTAGACTAAAAACAATCAACTTTAAAAGGAGACTTGGTTTATAAAAGCATCATCCATCCTGTAATTGGCGAGTTACTTACTGTTGACCAAGATGCGAATGGAAAAATAAAATAAAACCATAAATGCCATGATCGGACATGCTTGTGAAGCAGGAAACATAATTTATAAAAATAAAACCAAACACTCTGATCAGAGCCTCACATAATTAATCATTTATTTCAGCAAAAATACTACACAAATACCTTGGTACAGTGAACTCAGTGAAGAACATGATCAGTTGCTTTTCGTTATAAATTATTTACTATCATAATGTCAGCTTCAATTTTCATACATATCACCTAATTATAATGTAATTATTATTCTATAATTGTAATACGTTAGTTTCTCAAATACCTAGTGTGTATAGTATAGATGAAATAAATATATTACACAGTAGAATTATTATACTGTACATCTATATAAATGTCACACTTATTCAGAACACTGCCTGAGACAACTATAAATAAAAATAGAAATTTGCAAATTATTGTTACTGTAATTTAAACGTATTAAGTAGAGTAGTCATCAATAACACTGTCAACTGATGTCTAGTATAATCTAGCATAATCTCCAAGGCCTCAAATGTAGGCAGCCACAAATAGTAACTTCAATATTAGCAGGAATGGTACAATGACATAATACAAGAAAGGTAAGAGAACAATTTAGAATGGCAGTCATGCCTCCAATATAAGGCTTCATCATATCATCCTTGCAAGGATTGTAACAGACTTGCCACAAGTCTCTTATTTTTTTTATTATTTTTCTCATTCTGGACAGCGCCACCAACGAGAAAGTTAATTTAGAGATAGACGGAATAAGAATACAGTAATTTGAAAAAAAAAAGAAATCGAGTATGGGACGCCAATTAAATTAAGTATGGCGCGCACTAAGTGCAATAAAGAGTGAGTAACCTAAAATTAGGGCCTGGAACCCAGGCTAGGATTGTAAGAAATAAATAGCATCTCCTCATAGTCTTATAAAGAAAAAACCCACAGGCACTCGTCTTAATCCATCTGAACCTGATCATATGCATTTTATAAAAAATTAAGAAAAAAATATATACCAAATTTAAAATCACATTCTAGAAAAAAAATATTTGTTAATAGTTTATTGATCAAATTAATTAAGAAGTTTATGTCTGATTATTTTGATTTATATAATGTGCAATAAGATACTTCGTTATAGAGACCTCCTACCACAACTAAATATCCAGATCATGGAGTTATAAAATTATTATCAAAATAATTAACTCCATGTCCAGATCATCAATCTATCTAATAACCTACTGTCTAAACACTAAGCAATAATAACTACTTACAGCATGGAGTTATAATTATTTTGGCATGGTTTGACAAAAAAAAACTTGGAAACTCTTAATAATAACAGATTGTTTTTTCTTCCCCATTTTGTCTTGCATTTTTTCTCTTTTCTTTTTGGCTTTTTCTGCCATTCTCGTACACCATAGCGTTTCACTGCTGAGGAGTTCCAGAGTTTTTCGTCAAGAGGCATGTGGCCATTATAGAAAAATATAACCTATACTACAGTAGGCCTAAATTCCTTACAGTGATACACACACACACCCATGATGCAAAATTCCATTCTCTTGAATACCATACAGATCCACCTGTCTCTTATACACATCTAGATGTGTATAAGAGACAGTCATTACCTAAACTTTAATAGCATCACTAGGATAAAAAAATTGGTGGGGGTGGGGGAACTTCCAGAAAAAAAGGACAGAACGCATTTTTTGGCAGCCTTTTGTAAAACTGTAATAATTCCAAATAGTACTATTATAGAAATAATGATATTGCTCACAGTGTTATAACTTTAGAATGTGTGCTAAAAAACATGAGTTTTCTTGAAATTAATTACTGTTTTTACTGGAATTTAAGAAAAGCACTCATCATCTGCCAAACTGCCCATGCGTAAACCCTGTATCACATGGTATTTCTCAAATCTGTTTTGTTTGTTGCGTTATGCTGCATGCTTTGCACAGTAGGCTGTGAGTAGTAATGACTTAGAATGCCCTAGAGTTACCAATATTTTTTAGCTCAATATCAGCTGTTATTAGTCACCATAAGGCAAAAAAAAAAATTGTGTTTGTCACGTTTTGGGAAAAAATGGGTAGGTAGCTAGTGAAAGGTTTTTTTTTTTTTTAAACAAAAATAGGTTTACGCCTAAAAAGTTGAAAATACGACAAATAAAACAAAGACCACTTTTGAAATGATTTCCAGGTTTATTTTTTATTTTGCAAAATAAATTATCTTTTTCACTGTAAAACGACTCTAGGCCTGCTGTTAATCTTGTCTCTAGGCCTGTTGTTAATCTTGTCTCGCTTGTAAAACGGCTCTTGGCCTGTGGTGAATTGCCTTTTTCCTGCCTCTTCACATTCCTTACAAATTGAGACCTGCCACCTCGAAATGAGAGTAAAGTTGAACTTTATGAAAAATCAGATGTATATATTTTCTGATTGTACATTATTTCAGCTTCAAAATGGTGTTTAAATTATTCAAATATGTTTAGAAATAAGAGAGATATGATTAAATGAATTCGGATAATACTACAAGTCTAGGAAAAATACAACAATGAAAAAAGGCTTTCAAAGTTAGCGAAGCATACGATTCCCAAGTAAAGGTCGATCAAAAATCACGAAATTTTCTTGCTTCCAATGATTTTTTTTGCAATGAAAATTCAGTATGTTGTAAATCAATAGTTTTAGAAGCTGTTTTGATTGAAAACAGAATTTCGACCATATATGAGATTTCTATTTTGCCTCATAACTCAAATATACGCCGTGCGACTTTACTCTCATTTCATGGTGGCAGGTCTCATATAATTGAATTTAACTACTTACAGCATGGAGTTATAATTATTTTGGCATGGTTTGACAAAAAAAAAACTTGGAAACTCTTAATAATAACAGATTGTTTTTTCTTCCCCATTTTGCCTTGCATTTTTTCTCTTTTCTTTTTGGCTTTTTCTGCCATTCTCGTACACCATAGCGTTTCACTGCCGAGGAGTTCCAGAGTTTTTCGTCAAGAGGCATGTGGCCATTATAGAAAAATATAACCTATACTACAGTAGGCCTAAATTTCTTACAGTGATACACACACACACCCATGATGCAAAATTCCATTCTCTTGAATACCATACAGATCCACGCTGAACTAGATTCGAAAACCTGAGGTTCTATTATACTTTTTTAATGTGGCTGTAATGCTCAGCAAAAATGCCTTGACAGTGCAGTAGGCCTTCCTGTATATATTGTTCATTTCTGAATAACTATGTCATGTTGTACAATGCCATTCAATTCAGCCTAGGTCCTGCATGATTTCTGAATAAAAGAAATCTTGAATCTAAATTAACAAACATTATCATACATTTAGATGTCAACTGGTAGAAAGAAAGGCAGGTAATTTCAACACTAACAAACTTCAGTTTATTGAGCATTAACTTTCATTATTGCGTGAACTGATTGTATATTTCAGATAAACACGGCTACTTCACTGTTTCAACATGATGCACCTAGATGTGTGTTACAGTAAGCCAACTTGATTAAATTGGATTTGGATTTATTTGTAATGATTATGTAATTATCTTTTGTGCAAGCTATCTTGTCTCCTTTACGAGATGAACACTCAAGAGTGTCAATAATTTGACTGTTGTCAATTTGAATTACTAAAATGTATCCTTTACCTAAAATGAACAGTGTGCCACAACTGTCAACAGCTATGGCAATTGGCTCATTAATCTCACCATCCTTTCCAAATGTTTTAACAAATTTATGATCAGAATTTAACATGTGAATGCAATTATTTTCGATGTCACAAATGAAAACATTATCTTTGCAGTCAATGCAGATGTCTATTGGATTCTTGATTTCAAAATCTTTAACATCAATTATTGAATGAAGCTTGCCATCTGGAGAAAAGGCTTTGATTTGTTTTGATTCTGAAGAGCACATAAAAATAATGCCTTCTGAATTCATTGCAATTGCTAGTGGTTTGACATTTTCTAACTTTAATTCTCTTTTTTTCAGTTTCAAAGAGGGTGTTGTAAAAAAAATGCTTTGGAATGCATCAGTTTCATCATTTGAACATACACACACATTTGATCCACTTAAGTATCCAACAGCTAAACTAGGCTTATGATACTGTGAACCTTCAATTGAAGTATAAGTAGTACCAATAAATTTTCCATTTGAATTCCATGTACTGAGAATGAGATGGCATTTTGTTTTTCCTCTCTTAGCCTGTAGGTCAAGAACGAGGAGGGTTCCGCATGGAAGCACCACTAGGTCAGCAATGTCCTGGAGATTTCCAGGTCCTTTTCCACCCTGTCCAATCAGCTGCTGTGTCTTGTTTATGACTAGGTCTTCACTGTTCTTAATGGGGTTACCACAGTACACTGCACGAACCGAATGTTTACCAAGACACTTTAAATTGAATTTAGCTTCCACTATATCTTTAGCAAAGTGATGTTCTACTGGTTTAACAATTTCAGACCTAGGACCAAGGCATTGGACTTCAACATTTTGGAGATCAATTGATACCTTGCAGTTATCTGTACTAACAAGAATGACATTAGCACGAACAGTACTTTGTGACTCGTCCTGTAAAATTTTAATACAAAATTCACCAACAGAAATCAGAGGTGAAATGACAGATTCTCCCATAACCTTCAAGATCACATTGTGGTAACCTATTGTATGAGGAGTAAACTGTGCCTCATATTCTCCTGGGCTTGTTGGGTGGACTTGGCAAACAATAGGACTACTTGACATACTTTCATCAGGGCACACAGTTGCTTCTACTTTTATGTCTTTAGAGGCTCGATTGCAAGGCTGTTTGTTTCTGTTGTGCAATTTAATAATGAAGCGACATGGCACTCCAATGACACCATTTTCTACAGATACCTTAGTGTAAGCTGGGACGACATTGAATGCTTCAATTGCTGTCATGTTTGCGATAATGGAAGCTAAATTTTCACAATTATGTGTAAATGACAACAAGCTGTATGAAACATTAGGGACTGGTCCACCTTCCTCTCCTGTATCTGGCAATGATTTACAATCCTCATTAACAAGTTTTGTCAGTGACCTGCTGTGAACATGTAGTGTACGTGCAATCTCAACTGGACACTTTCGATCCAAGATGGGCTGGAAAGTTTCTACAGTGCTACCGATATGAGATAGAAATATTTCAGCTGCTTCTGTTTCTTTCTTGAATTGATCAATTGCTGACAACTTGAAAGCATCTACATACTTTTTAAGTTTTTCAAAATGAGCAACTATAGTTTCGTTTACTGTTGATTGAAACTTTTGTAGAAATGAATCCATGTCTTCAGTACATGACCGGTAATTTGTATCAAGCATGTCAGTCTTTTTGGTAGCTATACATGACTTCAGAATTGCTTTCTGCTGGATGGACATCACTTCATCAACAATTTTATTTAGTTCAGTAAGATGTTTTTCTTGTACACTTGCAAGATCAACAACTTTATGGCCTTTGTCTACATGATGGGATATGAGAGTACACTGAAAACAGATCACCTCTTGGCAACATTCACAAAATTTTTGCAATTTCTCTTGCTTGTGCTGTTCACAGTAATATATTTTCCTTGCTTCGTTTACTTTAACAATGTCCAATGATTCAGTGATATGACCTGAAAATGACCTCATCTCTGCATGGGACTCTTCACATTTTCTACAAATTGAATGACGACAGTGGTAACACCAGCTGACAGATTTGTTACCACGTGAACATTCATCACATGTTATTCCTTCCATGGGTTCTGGTTTTGAAACTTTTAGAAAATCCAATAACTGCTTAATTGTTAAGTTGTCTTGAAGTTTATCTGCACCTTCATCATCAAGATCAAATGGAGCTCTGCAATAAGGACAGCGGCCCTGACATTGGCCTGGTTGTGGAACAATTGTATTGATGCAACTCGAGCAATACGTATGACGACATGGCAGTTCTTTTGGCCTTCGTTCTGTCATTGTATACTGTTTAGTGCATATTTTACAGTTTATGAACTCATCTTTCAGATCATCAATTAAGTCAGCATGTGTTCGTCCAACTGCCATCGTACACCTTTTTAACAATCCTACAATAAAAATTAAAAAGTGGTTAATAATAATAATAATAATATTAATGTCATCTTATTTGGTGCACGTATCCATCTCTTGGTAGAGTTGCTCGCGGCGCCATTTTCCACCTGCAGATTGTACATGTAGCCTTTTTTGGCATTATTTTTTTTTTTTTTATTAATTAGATTTTAATTATATTAGGAGAAACTTAAGCAAGATTTATCATTATCCATTTATAAAATTGCCAGTAGATGGTTATATAACCCACCACCTTATTGTTATAATTATCATTATTATATCTATTTTTACTTCCTATCTGTTGTATTCTTAATAAAACAGGATACACTGCAGGGTTCGGTTACTGTAGTTTATTTCTACTCAACATGGCTGTCTGCACCGAGACGATAACAACCACACACATCTCTTGACAGACGCCCTCTCTGTAACAATA